TCTAGGATTTACACTAATCAAGGGGATCATGAAAGAGATTGTGAATATGGCAAAACCAAGAGGTGATGAGGGGGGTGAAAGGTTTCAAGATATGAATCTTGGAGAAATTCAAGTGCTAACAGACATCACACCAGAGGAATTAACAGTCGATGACTTGATGGAGATGAGCGCTGCAAAACAACACCAGATAGTGAGGACAATAGAGAAGAAGCAGAAAACAAACTGACATCAAGCAAAATGGCAGAAGGGTTCTGATTATTCAAGACTGCTTGTGACTTCCTTTACAACATGGGCCTTATATGATACGGGTACTGAAACTAAAGCAAATGATGGAAGGATTGGTAACGTATAGAAATTAGAGACATGAAAAAGCAAAAAAAGTCAGACAGAAATCACAACAAATTCCATAAAGTTACACCAAGCGTGCCTAGCTCTTCTGCCGCCCTTTCCACCTCGTCCACCTCTTCTGCCTTTGCCACCCCAAGACAGGAAGACCAACTCTTCTTCCTTCTCAGTCCACCCAACATGAAGAAAACAAGGATGGAGGTTTTTATGATGATCCACTTGCACTTAAAGAATAGCAAATGTATTTTATTTTCCTTATGATTTTCTTAATAACATTTCTCTAACTTAGTTTATTGTAACAATATAGTATATAAAATATATACAACATACAAAATTCGTGCTAATCACCTGTTTATGTTACTGGTAAGGTTTCTGGTCAACAGTAGCTGTTAGTAAAGTTTGGGGGGAGTCAAAACTTTGCACAGAGGGTTAGGACTCCTAAGCCCCATGTTGTTCAAAGGTCAATTGTACTTATATAATTCTAAACACACATGAACATGTCATCTCTTCACTAGAACCCTTTCATTTTCAAGATCAACTGAGTAACGGAGTTAAATTTAGCCATACCATGAGCGAGGCAGTAAGAAGTTGGGCAGTCTAGTTTTGTAGTTTCTTTAAAGTCATGAAGTAGAAAAACAGACATATGACTATGGAATTTAGTATGAATTGATGCAAGGTGTAAATTAAGAACTTTCAAATTCTGTAATAGTATATAAAATTTGAGAGAATCAAAAACGGGAGGAAAAGAACTGCTGAATCAAGCTATGAAAATACTAATGTTTCACAGTATTAAGTGTATAAACAATTGCAGTCTTTTCTTTTTTCTTTTTGAGTTGGAGTCTCACTCTGTCGCCCAGACTGGAGTGCAGTGGCCGCTTCCGGCCACCGCAGCTTCGACCTGCTGGGCTCCGGTGATCCTTCTGCCTCAGCCTTCCAAGTAGCCGGAATTACAGGCATGCGCTACCACGCCCTGCTGGTTTTTTGATTTGTTGTAGAGATGAGGTCTCGCTGCCCAGGTGGGTCTCAAACCCGCGGGCTCAGGCAATCCACTCACCTCAGCCTCCCAAAGGCGCAGGATTGCAGGCTGAGCCACCGAGCCCGGCTTGCAGTCTTTTCTAAATGTAAGTTATACTTAGCTCTAGAAATTTATGATTTGGTATTCTTATGATTTGGTATTCTTATAATACTTCCTTTCTATGGCAGGCTTTATGAAAAGACTATTACTTACTGAAATGAAGACAAACTTAAAAAAATAAAGGTGTTTTGAATCAAAATGCAAATGAATCTCCCTGGAAACAAGGAATAGGCAAAATATTGCTTAGCAAATTTCAAAATATTCCACAGACATGGGTAAACTTACCCTTAGAAAAACCCCCCACCCTATCCCCACTGGACAGAAGTTAGAGAGTGTTTGGCAGATGGAAAAACTGAGGATCCCTGTCCAAATGCCTTGTGTAAAACAAAGGGATGAAAAAAGAGGATCATTTTTCTTGTAATATAGGAGGCATAGTAGAGGTACTAGATCTTATCCCAAAATTCAGTTTCCTCTTTCCTTTAGTAATAGAACCCCAGCTAACAAACTATATTTTCCATCTTTCCTTGCTAACAGGAGTGACTATGCAACTATGTTCTAGTCAGCAAAGTACAGAGAGCTGAAATGTTAAGTGAGAATTCCAGAAAGTCGTTTTCAATACAGGAAACACATCCTTTGTTGCCTCTTCTTCCTTCCAGCAGCCTGAAAAGTTAATGTAACAACTAGATCTTCAGTAGCTATCTTGATCAAGAGGTAAAAGCAGAAAGGAAGGAGCCTGAGTTCCTGTACCACCCTGAGGTCACCATGCCAGCCCTGGACTGCCTCCCTCTGGCCAAGATGAGAGAAAAATACATGATCTTACACTGCTGGTTTATTTTCTTTGCTGGGGGAGTAAAGGCAGCTGAATCTAGTTCTATCCCGAATCATAATCCTATCTAAATCAGCAACAGCTGTCAGACCATACTTCTGGGAAATGAAATTTAACAAAACAAAATGTTAATCTGAAATTCTAACTGTAATAACCATGCAGTTTTCTCATGCTGAATAGTTAAATATAATGCATGTTTTCTAAAATGTATTTGTTTTGGAGTACACAAAATAACATACAACTACACATAATCATATAAACACTGTTTTGATATACAACACCAAATATTTTGATTGTGTTATTTGTTAATGCATTTTTTGGTAATAAAATTGCAGTTATGAACAGACAATACTTGGTAAGCTATACCATAGTGGGAGAAGGTATTAACACTGTAATTTTCCATAATCAAATCCGTTTTAGTTTCTTATGCAACTCAGAGATTTATGTTATTCAGATTGTCTATTTGAATACTGGCACAGGGCAGCGTTTCACTTATCAAAACACTGAAGAAGACAGTCTATTTTATGTGGGAATAATGGCTTTGTAACAGTGTTCAATTAGGAGACATTAGGAACCTTGCCTCAACAGCCATTAGCAAATTTATCTAAAAGATTTTATGCTACATCCTAAAACAACCAGCCACTGAAGACATCCTAAACTGCTTAGTATGCCAGATTTGCCTCAGAAACTTGCCATCTAAGCTGCTTTCAGGAGCCAGCAATGAGTATCATCAATACTTAAAGGATAGAAGGTTGAAGGACATTGGCATTCAAAGAAGATAACGCCAGAAACCTCAGATAGCCACAAAATTTAAACAACCTGCAGTTTACTTGGGAGAGAAATTTCATTTCTATTTCCAAAGAAAGATTAACTTTTGGTTTCTCAACTAGCTCTAGCAACATAGGGTCTGACTGATGACATTTCCTAACATTGTCAAACCGTTAATCCAAATTGGAAATCAATCCCTACTTTTCTTCCCCCTAAAGCAAAACACCTTACAAAAAGTAGTAAGTTCATCTGAATAGGTGATTTGGAGTTTAAGTTATTCTTTTCACAATCAGTGCTGGAATTAAGGCTAGTGATCTGTTTCAGTTCTTTTTTGTTTTTGGCCAGAAGTAACAAAATAATAGAAACTCTAAGTATATTAGGAAAAGATCTATATTATATATTACGACAATGTGGTAATCAAGAGGAAAACTCAAGACAACCATGCATTGTACTTGTCCAGTTTTGTTCAAATCCTGTAATTTTAAATAAAGAATAGTAGCGTTCACTGATGAGATTAACCTACTAATTACACCATACCTGAACACAGTGGATACTCAATAAGTTAACAGCTGTTATAACGTTCCTTCTTGAAGCAAAATGCGTCCATTTTAATCTCATCTTAACATTTATTGTGTCAAGCTGCTACAATTCATAAAAAATCATAAAACTGTAAGAGTCTGACATTCATTGTTAAAGTCTGACGTAAGTGGTCTGACGTTATCGAGCCTAGTCTTCTTATCCTATAAAATACTGCTTTAAACATCCCTGAGATGATCATTTTCCTGTTTTCCTGATTTCATCTGCCTTCCCTATCATCATTAGAAAAACAGAGGTTGGGCATCCTTTATATAAAATGCTTGGCACCAAGAGTGTTTTGGGTTTCAAGTTTTGAAATATTTGCTTATATTTAGCAGCTAAGCATCCCAAATATGAAAGTCTGAACTCTGAAATGCTTCAATGAACATTTCTTTTGAGTGTCACATAAATGTTCAAAAGTTTCAAATTCTGGAGCATCTTGGATTTCAGATTTTCAGATCTGGGATACTAAACCTGTACTAAAGAGGACGGCTAAGGGGTTGCTATTACTAAATTTCTCTCATAAACAAGCTTTCAGTAGATCATAGATTACCCTCCGCATCAGGATCACAGAGGCTTGTAAAAGGCAAACTCCTGGGTCTTGCTCAAGACCTATGGAATCAGAATCTTTGCCTTGAGGCCATTTTTATGACAAGCATCACTGCCCTAAGATCAAATGCAAATTCCTTAAACTGCAATCTTGCTCCCCCTTGCCTAGTCTTCAGAGTAAATGGGAAACATTGAGTCTCTCTCTACACTGTGCTTTCTTCAGATTTATACAGCTGTTGTTGTGGCTCTCCACATTTGCAGTTCTTCCAACTTTTCTTCTTTAATCTCTCCCTTTCTCACCTTTTTGACACCAATGAACTATTTCTTCCCAAATCTTCTCAATCACGGAGACTGGCAAAACAGCAAATGCAAACCAACCAGCAATGATCATATGGAAGGATAAGCTTATGGAATCAATACTTTACAATGTGCTCCCATGTGGATCCCTGTTATGGGGTAACTGTTTGAAAAATGGTGCTCTGGGCAGGTTTTATTTCCTGCAGATATATCCTTCTTACTTCTGTTTCAGGCACTGTATTTTGGAACTCTTCCCACTGAAATTCCATCCAAATTAACTATGTGATGTTGAAAATCAATTTTTCTCCCCACAAGTACACCAGCCATCCAAATGTCAAACATGAATTACATGAATATGCTTCCTATGCTTTACATTCAGGGCACTATTAAAAATGCAGAAGGTATCATAGCTGGGTTGAGAACACAGCATTCTCCCAGAAGCAATTACTCATATGCAGATGCAAAAAGCATTTAAGGAGGCACCATTCAATCAGATAGCTCTCAGAAAAGAATGCTTTGGCTCCCATGTACAAGGCTTATGCCAGCTCAGTCAGCATTTCGTACCTGCCCAGCCAGTGTAGCCAGTGCCATCCCGAGGGTCTGCTGACTTTAGGCCTCTCTCCATTTGCTGAAGAAGCTCCCGAATCTTATTGGTCAGGCGTTGTGAGAACTCAGGAGTCAGCTATGGATATTAAGGGAAAACAAATATTAAAAAAGTATGGGCCACCCCCTGGTGGCCTCCTGGACTACAGGCTATTAAGGGTATGAAGGCATTTTATTTCTGCTCAGGACACACTTCTCTGCCTGAGAGACTGGGCAATTTATTACTATTCCTAAACAACAATAGTACATTAATGAAATTTAAAAGCACTTCTGCTTTTCTACTCAAGGAAAGAAATACTGTTGTGACTTAATTGTTTTGCATAAAATTTTCAGTTAAGTACTAAAATAGACTGCCAATGATAAACAAACTCAGTAATTTTCCACCTAATAGGGATCATCTATTATTTAATCAATATTTACTATAATAATAAAAAGTCACTTTATTAAATTAAGCACAAATCAAAAGATGTTTGCTGCTTTCAAGCCACTGGATTTCCAGTATTCAAGCAGTAGCACTGTCAAGACCCTGAAGAAACATTCTCGTTGCTTTTGTTATTTTAAAAAAGTGGATAAAACACTTTAAAAAAATTGAAGTAGCATAAAAAAAGCAAAACAAATTCATGCATACCAAGAGCAAAGCAGAGTGGAAAGAACACCAAACTTAGTATCACACACCCATGCCCAGCACAGTGCCTGGCAGACAGTTGGAGATTTATAAATATTTCTCAATGGCACACCTCATCAACAAGGATACCTGCACAATAAATATCTGTATACTCACAATTTTAAAATAAAAGACATATATAATTAAAAAATATATATATATATATATACACATATACATATATATATATGTATCTCAATGAATGAGCCTGGCCACATCCTTACCCGCTATTAGCTGAGTGATCCTGCACAACTCACAGCTTTATTATGCTTCAACTACCTCTGTGAAGTCAGGATAATACCTGCCCCACCAATTTCTAAAGATACTTTGAGGATCAAATGAGATCATGCGTTGCAGGTCTTTTTTAATTTAGGGCTGTAAATGTTGACATTTTTACTATTATATGACAAGTAATAAATAATTTAAATATGGATGAGAAGTACACTAAGGCTCAGCGGTCAGTAACACCCACATGAAGGCCTGAAGAAACTGGGCAAACTATGAGGCCCATATACAATCATGACTTTCTTCTTCCCCAAAGCAACTGAAAAATATTTTTAAAGTTCTGCACAGACGTGTCTTAAAAGTTCACTTTAGTGTATCCCTCAGTAATTTTAGGATCCTGCTGTGATTCTAAGACCTGCCATTTACAAAGCAACACAGTATCAAAACAATGGGAGGAACATTCCAAGGGAACACTTTATTTTACCAAGTAAGGAATGCAGAACCAAACCTAACCACCACTTGTTAGTATTAGAATCTCATTTTTTTAAATGGGCACATCTTAACACTGAAAAAAGTAAGAAAGCAGTATCAGCATGAATAATAACAATAATCGCAAAAGACATTAAGATTCACTTCAGAGGAGCCGCCCTAATAAGACAAATCAGACTCTCAACCACCCCTGGATTATTTATTCCGAAGCACCACTATGATCCCCTATTTCACACTCTGAAGAAACCACGGTGCTTGACAGAAACACTCTCATTATTTAACAACTGTTGTAAGGAGGTTAAGACTTCAACACGACTTGAAAATACACTTAGTAAGATGAAATATACACCAGTGTTACTATAAAAGGTCTATAAATCTCAACTAGATAGAAGAGTGCATCTACACGAGAACATGTCAACTTCTGTACATAGATCATGTCTAATTTATCATCATGTCTGGCCTTCAAGAGCCCAAGAAGAATGAGAACATCTCAGCCTCAGGAAGGGAGGTTCCTTTCGATTTGGTAGATACTGCATTTAATAAAGCGATCCACCTAAGAATATTGACTACCTGTGGTACACCACCAAATTACTCAAACTCTACTGATAATTTGAAGAGTCTCCAAAAGCCCCCCTTTTTTTTCCTGGCAGATGCCAGAAAACAGACCAATTCCTTATAGAAATCTTCGTGTTAACAAATTAAGGAGGACAGATCTCCGTGGCTGGCTCCTCTGTGTTCAACATTAAACAATTTTAGAACTGGTCTGCTAGTTTCTTTGTGGGATCTGTCCAAAAACTATGTTAGGCAATACATTACATTACTCTTCTTGGGTCAGGGTTTAAATTTATGAAATTCTCTCCTTAGAAATAGAGAGTTAAATTGACAGAAAGCATTTACTATCTAAGCAGCCTAATGAGTGAGTTACAATTTATTGAAGCTTCTATCTAACATCAGGACACATCCTCAAACGGATGCTCTGCCAAGTTAGCAGGAAGCAGCATGTCTTTCTCCAGCAAGACAAGACTAGAGTTCACAGCTTCAGATCTGCAGAGCTAGGCAGAACGCAGGCCCAAATGGCCAAAGGGAATCCATCTGACCACAAGACCATTATAAAAGGCTTTGTTGGGGCGGCTCAGTATTGGTCTTAACACCCTAATCCATATACATTTTGGCAGCCCCCTACCCTCCACCTCTTCATGCCTCTCATCCCTCCTGCATTACTGACCCAAGCTGATCTATCATGACAAGTGTTTTAAGGAAAAAACCAACAGAACCATTTAAAGTTAACTTGACAGACAGGAAATCTGTGAGGCCATCATATCATGTGTAAAATGCTTTTTGTAGAACTGGACAAGTTTCAAAGAAATAAACTAATAAAATTAAAAAAAAAGTTGAAACAGGAACCCTACCTATCAACACACACACACACACGCGTGTGTGCACTCTTCCAATCTTAGTCTTAAAATGTCTGAAAACTAGGTCTTCTTTAAAAGGCCCATAATCCCTATTAGCAGTCATGTTCACCCAAAGAGGTAGGAGAAAACAGAGTTCCCTTATCTTACATACAGGTTCTCTTTGGCCCAGCAGCTTGCAACGGGCTCACCAGCTTAATTTGTGGGTCTCCCCCACCCCCGGCCCCAGGAATGTCCTGTGAAGAGTGGCAATGGTACCCAGAGCTTCAAGCCTTCTGTGTCCTCAAACGCTCTTTGCACTGTCCGTTTAGAGACGGGCTGACCGCCCCCCAGCTTCCTCTCATGACCACTTTGGCCACACTCGTGTACAGTCCTAAAGGAATAACGTGACACACACTTTAAGAAGCAAACCAAAGCCGGGCTCAGTGGCTCAGCCTGTAATCCCGCGCTTTGGGAGGCCGAGGTGAGGGGATCGCCTGAGCCCGCGGGTTCGAGACCCGCCTGGGCAACTTGGCGAGACCCCCCCATCTCTACCATAAATCAAAAATTAGCCGGGCGTGGTTGCGCGGGCCTGTAGTTCCAGCTACTTGGAAGGCGGAGGCGAGGCGGAAGGATCGCCGGAGCCCAGCGGGTCGAGGCTGCGGGGGGGGGGGCGGACACTGCGCTCCAGTCTGGGCGACAGAGTGAGACTCCAACTCAAAAAATAAGCAAACCAGAACAGATCCCCCCCGCCCCCAACGCAGAGGACTGGCAAAAGACATGTGCATGTCTAAACTTAAAAAAAAAAATGTATCTTATCCTCGACTGAGGTCGTCTGCGGTTCATCCGTCTCAGTATCCCCTCTCTTTACGCAGCAAACCAAAACGGACCCAAAATGCAGAGGCCTGGCAAACGACCTGTGCGTTTCTCAGCTTAAAAAATCAAAACCTATCGTGTCCGTGACCGAGGCTGGCTGGCTGAGACGCCTTCGGCACAGTCGCCATGCCACCTCACAGACACAGCACGTGAGCCCGCCGAGGGTCGATCCCGACCGGCGCTCGGCACGTCCACACGTGCAAAGGCACAACCGCAAAGCGAACGGGTTCTCCCCCCGGGGATTTCTCCAAAGGAGAGGCTCGTTTCCCGACACCGGCGGGGAGGGGCGGGAGGGAGGCGGGCGACCCCCCCAACTCACCCTCCCGGCCGC